GTATTGTCTCCTCTGGTAACTTGGGGGCGGACGCAAGTAGGTGGAAGGCTAGGTGGGGTTGACTAGGTCACCGGAGGTGGGGTAGTGGCAGTATGGAGGGGAGAGGGGAGAGGGGGGGGAGGGTATTGTCTCCTCTGGTAGCTTGGGGGCGGAACGCAAGTAAGTGGAAGGTTGGGGTGCAGTGAAGGGTGGAGGGATGGTGGGGTGGTAGGAGTGTTGTTTGATCGTTTTTTAGTTGGAAGTAAAAAGGGGGGGTAGAAGGGGGGGTAGGTATAGACGGCTGATTAGTATTGTCTCACTCGATTCTCACTCGATTCTGTTACAGCGTCTTTTCCTTCGTCTTTTGTGCCCGTCGCGTAGAGGAGCTGCTCTTGAACGACTATTCCCGACTAGACTCCACAGGTGCAGAGCTGTTTCACTCGCGTACTTGCTGAAGGAAGTTGTCTGCTTGTGCGCTGGACCTCTTGCGAGTCCCTAATACCGGGTCTCGCTCCTTGGATCTTCGACAAGGGTCCAGCTAGATGCAGCCAGTTTTCCCTCCACTTTGAACGGAGAGCGCTTGGGAGCGAACAGAACACGTCCAGAAGCCCTTGTCGCCTTCTATCATACCGAGCCGGCGCGGGGGCGCGCGCGCGCGCCAGGGTGCGCACACGTGGAGTGCCCCCCTGCAAAGCAGGGCTATGGCTTCGTAGCGGACGGCGGGGGCGAGCGTCGTTTCGAAAGTTCGAAGTTGGCGGGCGCGAGCACCAGCACAGGCGGGAAACCGGCCGTAGGCGCGAGCGCGTGAATTGGCGCTGGGCTGCGCTAACCGAGGGCGCGAGCGCGAAAAAAAAAAAAATCTCACTTGGACTTATCTAAGCACAGTTGAGGCCAAATTCAATCAAGAAGGTAAAAGTCTTGAGTTACTTGTTGAGTATGCTCTTAATTCCTAAGGAAATTTGAGGAATAAGTCCGAATAACCAAGTTTTTTTTTTAGGCACAACCAAGTCTGAGTTAAGGGAGGCTCCCATAGGCAGACACTAGAGATGTACTGCAAAGCATTGTTGTAGTCTAATAAAAATATTACTGCCATGGCAACCTTATTAAATTAATAATATACCCCTCTGGGCGATCTCTATACCTGTGCTCCCCCTCCCCCCAACCCCCCCCCCACGAAAACCCTTCTCCCTACTCTCCTCCATCCTATCCATCCTCATAATCCCTACAACAAGCCAAAATTACCAAACTTGGTAAACAAAAACTGGAAAGAAGGGAAGACAACAAAAGAAGATAAAAAAAAAGACGGGGAGAAAAGAAAGAAAAATGGGTACCCTTCTCAGCCTTTTGAGTAAGATCGCCATGTTGCTGAGTGGTACACCCATCAACGGTTGATAAACGGACATATTAATCAGTTAAGTGAAATAACTTCGGGAAAAAGAAGAAAAAAAACACTCCTTAATTTTCTGGGGCTGGTCAGTTGGACGATGATATGTTACAGCCATTTCCCCCTTTCTTTTTTTAAATAAAGGGCAGATGCGAGGGTTTAATCCCTCAGCATAACCGCGTAAGGCCATACATCAGGCACGTGCCTGCCCTTAGTGAAGGTGGGCCTCTGAACTTGCCAATTTTTTTGCAAATCTTGGCCGGCGCCAGGCAGTCGCCACGCGCCAGTTGGTTACATCCGCCCTGCTCGTGAGAATCCACAATATTCATGAGCCTTCCTGGCTCTTCCAGCAACGTGGTCGAACCAGGGAGTATCACCCGCTGCTTGCACCTGGGTGGTTGGGCATGCCTAACCAATTCAGTCCCAGGCCACTGTCTGAACAGGCCTGGGCGCAGGCACTTTGGCCGAGACTGAAGCTACTGGGAAACTCGGTCTCACGGATCGTGGCAAGGAAAAACGCCGGCCACTTTCCATATAGGAAAGGGACGAACGCGAGGGAAGCATTCGGGCGCTTGCAAGTTTTCGGCGGCGCTGCTGGAGCAAGCGCTCGCGGGCTGCTGCGAGCCCAGGGCAAGGTGTTGCGCATGTGTGGTCGTGTAGAGAAAGGGCGCTACTGAGAGCAGTGCCATAGCCCAGCTTTCATAGCTGCTGGTGCTTGGTTGTACAGCAAGGGGTAGTGGTGGTCTTCGTGTATGAGGGAGAAGATGTGGGTGAGAGACGAGAGAGAGAGAGAGAGAGAGAGAGAGAGAGAGAGAGAGAGAGAGAGAGAGAGAGAGAGAGAGAGAGAGAGATGAGGGTGATGACGTGAGGGCACGTACCTGGTCTTGGCGATAGTTTACAAGGGTCGACATCTTCATGTACTTCGATACTGCTGCTGACATCAACAGTTGCATTGTCAATTCGTAGGCTGGTAGTAGCTGCGTGATAGTAGTCTGGGCGCTGAGTGCCAAGTAGGGGAAGGGCTCTGGATACTTATGTTGGTGATGGCGAGAGTATGCTCTCATTGACACTTGGTTTCAGTCTTCTGGCTCTCTATTGGTGTAATATCGGTGCAATTCTTCTTTCTGGACAGTGTCGGACTTCCTGCCTTTCAATGTGATTTGGTAATCTGAAATCTGTCTGCAATCAGACTCGCTTCCTTTTCCACTTCGCACTCATGCAAACAGATGGTGAATCACACTGGCGCACAGCACCCACTCAAAGCTCAAAGATATGGAAGTCGAAAACACAGTTCAGATACAACTCGCTTCAACAGGCTATGGCGCATCAGCGCCTGTACATCCCAACTCTCGTCTCTCTGCCCAACACCACTGTTCGCACTCACTCAACTCCGGATCACCCTGGATATCCCACACACATACACACCCTCTCGTACTCACACACTCGCCTATCAGCTTATGGCGGCTATGGCCACTGTTCCTCTATGGCTATGGCTAACTACCTCCTTCAGCCCACTTGTCTTCAGGCACTCTGCAGACCACCTCGCACAAGTCGCTCAGGCAGCGCTTCCGCATGGCTTACGCAGGAATGAATGAATGGCTGGACACTGCCTCTTGATTTATACTTCTGGAAGTCGCTGGTCTGCCTCTTTCCACTGGGCCCATGGTGCACACAGTCCCACATGGTACTTGCTGACCGGACTAAATGAGACAGGGACTAGGTACTGCTGACTCAACATGGGTGGACTCACCACTTGCCCACTTGCCTCTGGCCAAACGTAGGAATTCTCGAAAGGCCACTTCCGGACCTTCCGGAAGTCCGTAGACTTGGCCTTTCGGAACTGTAGCAGCTACGACCTTGACCTCTCAGGACTGTAGCAGCTACGACCTTGACCTTTCAGGAAGCCTACAGCTACGGCTTCTAGAACAGCTACGACCCCTACTCTATAGACCTACAGATCGAGCCCCTACAACTACACATCCTACGACAGACAAAAACCCAACGATCAAGACACAGGTTATGGGTTCAAACGCACAGGGAGTACTGTACACAGATGAGCGGGGTCTAGGGATCGAGCCCTGGGGTCTGCATCTGCTACTGCGAAGGTGAAAACCGTCTCATCATCAGACTCTCATGTCGTTTTGCTATTGCTCATTTTCCTTGCACAGAGAAGGAAGGAAAAGAAAAAGGAGAAGAGGAGGAGAATCGAAAGAACCAAACTGACCTAGATCAGCTGGTACAACGATGAACTGCTGAAATACAGAGACCGAAGTTCGAATCCGGCTGGTATGAGACGAGTAAACATAACTCTGAATTTATCTAGGGCCAGTCAGTTCGAAGATGATATCTCAAGGCTGTGGCCCTTCTCTTAAAAAAAAAAGAAAAAAAAGACCAAGTGCAGTATCTGTTCTGAACTTCTGATCCATTTAATTGTTTAATACCTGATCCCTGGTCCACTGGGCCAAGCGACAAGAAGAAAAAGAAAGAAAAACTTAGAAAACTGTCTGAAGTCACACACACACAAAAAAAAACTAATCCTTGTAATCAAGGAATTGATTTACCGTCGTGGTGAAGGCCCCAAGACTTGACTCTGATCAACAACATAATGATTGCACATCAAAGGGCAGCTGTAACTGCACCCACATGCATTCAGGAAAATCCTAAGTGTGACACAATGATTGTAGGTCTAAGGGTGCTAATACTACAACTTTTCAGCTGAATTCTAGCTAGCTGCAGCCACATACATTCGGGAAAGTCCTTAGTGTGATCATGCGCTACCATTGATCAACACCGATCTATCCCCAAAAAGCACATAAACTCTGATAGAGTGAAATGCGACTGACTGGGTCAGGTGAGAACGTCACTTTTGCGGAATGTAGCTCCAGCTGTGTCGACAAACTCTCCGAGTAATTGTACTACTATGTGGCTGCCTCTATTTATTGCTCAGTTGGAAGTTCCACAGAGCACGACCTTCGCTGTGGAATCCTCCAAGAGAGCTTGTGTGCCCGAATGGAACTCCGGCACCCTGAACTGTCCCACAGGGCCCTGTGGGATCCTGCAAGAGAGCTCCTAGGCACCCTGCACTGTCTCACAGGGCCCAGTGTGGGATCCTCCACGAGAGCTCTTTGGCTGTGGAATCCTCCACGAGAGCTGGCAACTGCGAATACGCCGAATAGAACTCTAGGCACCCTGCACTGTCCCACAGGGCCCTGTGGGATCCTCCAAGAGAGCTCTGTGGAACTTCCAACTCAGCAGAAGATTAGAGCCAGTAAATACTGCTCATCAGTCACCCTGAACTGTCTTTGGAAAGTTAGCACACTCTTTGAAAAAGTGCACTGAAGTGATTGCCAGCGTTTACTGACCATCAGCGGGCGGAGAGATTTGCAGAGCATCTATCTGTGAAATCTTGCCAGGTTCTGTTCTCACTGCTGCGCAGTGTTTCTGTCGAAAACGACATGACACAGAAAGATTCTTGCACCATTTGTCGGAATCGCAAACCCGAAATGCAAATGCAGTCCTCTCTCTTGCTACGTCTTCTTCAAACGTTCTGCTATTCCAATTGATTACTATGGAACCAACTATTCCCTGCAGGCGACCAGTACTAACTATTCCCTGCCGGCGCTGTTGAATGGGCTATTAAGAACAAGACAAGATTTTCCTAATCCTCTCCAATCTGATAATCGTAGAAGCTATACCCCTTTTCAGAACACACACACACACACACACACACACACACACACACACACACACACACACAC